AAAAAAAAAAAGCCACGGCCAGGTGTGGTGGCTCATGCCAGCACTTTTGGGAGGCCAAGGCGGGCAGATCACTTGAGACTAGGAGTTCAAGACCAGCCTGGCCAACAAAGTGAAACCCCATCTCTGCTAAAAATACAAAAAGCCAGGCCTGGTGATGGGCAACTGTAGTCCCAGCTACTTGGGAGGTTGACGCAGGCGAATCACTTGAACCCAGGAGGCGGAGGTTGCAATGAGCCGAGATCTCACCACTGCACTGCAGCCTGGGTGACAGAGCGAGACGCCATCTCGCAAAAATAATAAATAGGCTGGGTGTGGTAGCTCACACCTGTAATCCCAGCACTTTGGGAGGCCGAAGTGGGTAGATCACCTGAGGTCAGGAATTCAGAACCAGCCTGACCAACATGGTGAAACCCCGTCTCCACTAAAAATACAAAATTAGCTGGGCGTGGTGGCGCACACCTGTAATCCCAGCTACTCGGGAGGCTGAGGCAGGAGAATCGCTTGAACCTGGGTAGTGGAGGTTGCAGTGAGCTAAGATCATGCCATTGCACTCCAGCCTGGGCAACAAAGCAAGCCTCCGTCTCATAAATGGATAAATAAAGCAAGCCCTGGCCAGTCAGCACACCAGCCTGGGTCTCACTCTGGAGTACACTATGCAGACGTCCCAGGCGCAGAGGTGGTGTCGGGGGCAGCTCGGCTGATGCCACCTGACTTCGTGCCCACCAGGTCTTCCTGAAGGAGACAGAGAGGCAGGCCCTGCAGGAGACGCTGCACCGGGAGGTGGTGCGGAAAATCCTGCTGCTGCAGAGCTGGTTCCGGATGGTGCTGGAGCGCCGGCACTTCCTGCAGACGAAGCGGGCCACCATCACCATCCAGGCCTGCTGGCGGTCCTACCGGGTGCGGAGGGCGCTGGAGAGGACACAGGCCGCCGTGTACCTCCAGGCCGCGTGGAGGGGCTACCGGCAGCGAAGGCTGTACCGGCGCTGGAGACAGAGCATCATCCGCCTGCAGAGCCTCTGCCGGGGGCATCTGCAGCGCAAGAGGTGAGCAGAGCCAGCCCACGCTCCCCAGAATATTCCAGAAGCCAAGAGGGTAACTCACCAAATTGCTGCCCATGATATATCACCTGGCCTGTGGCACTAAGGGGATGTCATTCTGGACACAGGGAGGGGTCGGTGGGAAACCAGATGCCCAGGCACGCATGGGCTGCAGAGAGGCTGGCAGGCAGCACTCAGGGACAAAGCCCTGGTTTGCCGTTGGCTGCACCCATTCTCCGTCCGGGGACTCCCCTGTACCTGGGTCGGTCAGGGAACACCCGGACTCAGGGTTGGAGGGAATGCCTGGACTAGCTCAACACTCACAGGGACAGAACACCCCCCAGGAGGACATCAGCAGCTCCTGCGCCAGCACCCACAGCTCCGAGGCCAGCCCCTCTGACCTGGGCACGCTGTGCACCTCCCCCCTGCCCACACAGACACAGCTCTGCCACAAGTAAGGTCCCAGCTCCTGAAGCAGGCCCTACCCACACATGCAAAAGCCTCCAAGGCCGTGCGCAGTGGCTCACGCCTGTAATCCCAACACTTTGGGAGGCCTAGGTGGGAGGACCACTTGGTCCAAGTGTTTGAGAACAGCCTGGCCAACATAGCAAGATGCCATCCTAACACAAAATTAAAGACTTAGCCAGGTGTGGTGGTACACATCTGTAGTCCCAGCTATTCGGGAAGCTGAGGCGGGAGGATCACCTGGGCTTGGGATATTGAGGCCGCAGTGAGCTATGGTCATGCCACTGTACTCCAGTCTGGGTGACAGAGCCAGACCTGTCTCTAAAAACAAAACAAGCTGGGCATAGTGGCTCATACCTGTAAGGCCAGCACTTGGGGGGCCAAGGCAGGCAGATCACATGGGCCAGGAGTTCAAGACCAGCCTGGCCAACATGGCAAAACCCCGTCTCTACTAAAAATACAAAAATTCACCAGGCATGGTGGTGCATGTCTGTAATCTCAATTACTAGGGAAGCTGAGGCACAAGAATCACTTGAACCTGAGAGGCGGAGGTTGCAGCGAGCCAAGATCGTGCCACTGCACTCCAGCCTGGGTGACGGAGCAAGACTACTTCTCAAAAAATAAATAAATAAAATTTAAAACAAAACAGACTGGGCGCAGTGGCTCACACCTTTAATCCCAGCACTTTGGGACGCCGAGGCGGGCAGATCACCTGAGGTCAGGCTGGGGTCCTGCTGGAACTTGGAGGGAGGTGGAGGGAGTGTTTGTTTCTGAACCAGCTCTCTGCTTTCTCCTCACTCCAGCTTCAGCCAGATGATCTCGGAGAAGCAGAAGGCGGAGGAGAAGGAGAGAGAAGCCCGGGAAGCTGCAAGAGCAGGCACTGAGGACGGGCGGGAGCAGGCAGCCGGCAGGCAGGGAGCTGAGCCGGGGCCGGAGCCTGCAGAGGATGGCGGGCACCTGGTGTCGGAGCCTGAGGTGTGGCCAGGCGACAGGTCCCCCCCAGAGCACTCCCCACCCGAGAAGGAGGCCCCAAGCCCAGAGAAGACTCTCCCCTCACAGAAAACCGTGGTGGCTGAAAGTCACGAGAAAGTCCCCAGCAGCCGGGAGAAGCGTGAGTCACGTCGGCAAAGAGGGCTGGAGCATGTCAAGTTCCAGAACAAACACGTCCAGTCTTGCAAGGAGGAGAGTGCCCTCAGAGAACCTTCCAAAAGGGTCACCCAGGACCAAGGGTTGAGCCTCCCAGAAGACGAAAAGGAGAGCAGAGAAGATGAAACCCTTCTAGTCGTGGAGACAGAGGCTGAGGACACATCTGAGAAGCAGCCCACGGAACAGCCCCCGGCCATGGCCGTCGGCAGGGTCTCCACAGACACTGAGAAGGCGCCACCGGGTGGGAGCCCCAGGCCTGGCCAGGTGGAGCGGCCGACCAGCCTGGCCTTGGATGGCAGGGTCAGCCCACCGGCCCCCAGCAGCGCCCCTGGGACCCCCGAGGACAGAAGCAAACCGTGCGGCAGCCTGAGGGCTCAGGAGAAGCCCGACAGCCCTGGGGGCTCCACACAGATCCAGCGGTATCTGGACGCCGAGCGGCTGGCCAACGCCGTGGAGCTGTGGCGGGGCAAGAAGCTGGTGGCCGCCACCAGCCCCAGCACCATGCTCAGCCAGTCCCTGGACCTCAGCGACAGACACCGGGTCGCGGGAGCCACCCTCACGCCCACAGAGTAAGCCCTACAGCCTCTTTGTCTGAGCACCGGGGTCCAGGCCAGGGGCAGTGCCACACATCCCGGAAACACAAGTCATCATACCCAGTGGGTATGTGGGAGCCCCAAGGGAGGAGGACGAGCAGGGCATGCAAAAGGCCAAGTGAAGACAAGGCACCCAGCCAGGGCCCAGGCTGGGACCCGGAGCCTTGAGAGGCCCTGAAGGAGCTGTGCTCATACAGAAAGACCCCGGCCTTGGGGAGGTGGTTCCTCAGGTCAAGCCCTGCTTTCCCGCTCCCTAGCAGTCTTGGGCCTTGAGTTCTAATTGAGGGACAGGACTAAACTACACTCCTTGGGGTTAAGGGAGCAGGGGCTCGGCCAGGCGTGGTGGCTGATGCCTGTAATCCCAGCACTTTGGGAGGCTGAGGCAGGCGGATCACGAGGTCAGGAGATCGAGGCCATCCTGGCTAACACGGTGAAACCCCGTCTCTACTAAAAATACAAAAAGTTAGCCAGGCATGGTGGCTCCCACTTGTAGTCCCAGCTACTTGGGATGCTGGGGCAGGAGAATCTCTTGAACCTGGGGGCGGAGGTTGCAGTGAGCTGAGATCGGGCCATTGCACTCCAGCCTTGGCGACAAGAGTGAAACTCCATCTCAAAAAAAGATGGGTAGAGATGATAGATGAAGAGATGGATGGAAGACAGATAAAGAGGATGGATCGGTGGAAGACAGAGACAATGAACAGAGGGATGGATGGACAGACGGACGGACAGACGGATAGACAGGGTCTCTTGTGCTAAGTCAAGGTTTCCTACCCTCCACGCTGTCAACATCCGGGGCTGGGTCAGTCTCTGGGGTGGAGACCATTCTCTAGGGTACTAAGGAGCATCCCTGGCCTCCACTCAGCAGATGCCAGAAGTACCCACCCACTCCTTCCCCCTACCTCGGTGGTGACAACCAAAACTCTCTAGACAGTGCCAAGTGCCCCTGGGGTGGGGGGGGGGCAGAACCGCCCAAGTGAGACCCCAAGAACCACTAAGACAAGAACGGCGCCGACTCACTTGGTCAGTAAAAGCCACATTTCTGATCTCGCAGGGAGAGGCGCATCTCCTTTTCCACGAGCGATGTCTCCAAGCTCCTCCCGTCCCCGGCCAAGGCTCAGGTAACAGCAATGTGGCACAACCCCGTCTCTACTAAAAATACAAGTTAGCCAGGTGTGGTAGCACGCGCCTGTAATCCCAGCTACTCAGGAGGCTGAGGCAGGAGAATCGCTTGAACCTGGAGGCGGGATGGTGGAGGTTGCGGTGAGCCAAGACCAAGCCACCGCACTCCAGCCTGGGGGACAGAGTGAGACTTGGTCTCAAAAAAAAAAAAAATAGGAAGTGACGGTAGGACAGAGGCTTCCCCAGCTCGCACAGGCCTGCCAGCCTTTCCTTAGCAGCCCCTCCCCCACCATCTTGCAGCCTGCATCCGAAACCACGGATGGAGATCGAAACTCGAAGAGGCCGGCTGTCCAGAAGAAGAAGTCAGGCGACGCATCCTCTGGCCCAGATGCAGGGCTGTCCCCAGGCTCCCAGGTCGACTCTAAGTAAGTATGGGGCTTGGGGAAGACTCAGGCCACCAGAGGATGCCCAAGGTCCCTGCCAGAGCCTCGCAGCAGTGTGACCCCCTATACCGGTCACATTGACAAAGCATGCTCAGGAAGGCATTTGCTCAGTAGAAACTGCATGAGGAGGCTGGGCATGGTAGCTCACTTCTGTAATCCCAGCACTTTGGGAGGCCAAGGTGGGTGGATCATGTGAGGTCACGAGTTTGAGACCAGCCTGACCAACATGGCGAAACCCCGTCTGTAATAAAAATACAAAAATTGCCACATGCGGTGGCTCACATCTGGAATCCCAGCACTTTGGGAGGCCGAGGCACGTGGATCACAAGGTTAGGAGTGTGAGACCAGCCTGGCCTATGTGGTGAATCCGCATCTCAACTAACAATACAAAAATTAGCCAGTCACGGTGGTGCACGCCTGCAGTCACAGCTACTCGGGAGACTGAGGCAGGAGAATTGCTTGAACCCAGGAGGCGGAGGTATTTGCAGTGAGTTGCAATTGTACCACTGCACTCCGGCCTGGGTGACAGAGAGACTCCATCTCAAAAAAAAATAAAATTAGCTGTGCATGATGACACACACCTATAATCCCAGCCACTGAGGAGGCTGCAGGAGAATCACTTGAACTCGGGAGCTGGAGGTAGCAGTGAGCTGAGATCGTGCCACTACACTCCAGCCTGGGTGATGGAGGGAGACTCCATCTCAAAAA